AAACAAGAGCGAGCTGAAATATTTACTTTTTTTCCCTTCAGCCCTGTCAGTGTTGACATTTGACATAAGGTAGGGGAAGGGCTCTGAGCAAAACATAATGATTATAACCAGCAGCAAAATATATTTCATTGCACAACAATGCTGATTGTGGATTGTTTCATCGTGTGCTAATGATACCCTAACTGAGAATAAGTAGAAGAGCCACTAGACATTGTTTTTTAAAGAGGAAAGTACAGCTTAATACAGAAGTTTTGTATTTGATTATGGTAGAAATTTTATCTGAAGCCAGTGCCAGTCAGCGTTGCATTTAGTTTGCAATAAACACAGTTCTATACCTTGCTCCCTTTGCACACTAACACATCACTTATCTGTACTCCTCTGGTTGTGCTCTCTGTAGATAGCATCTGTCAGATCAAATCAAATTCTTTTTCTTTTTTCTGAGGGTCATTTGAAATATGTGTATTCAAGAATACATTTTTGATCACAAAATAGTTATACTTGGAAGCAATTCATCCAGGAAGACACACGAGCTGTGGAACAGTTGCATCAGCAGCTGACGTTCTTTTAATGTGCTTCAAGTCATCCATGAAAAATGCTCTACTTAAAAATCAAAGGGAAGATATGGTTATTCTTATGTGGGATATAAAATTATCTGAATAATGTAGAGTTATTACTGAACTTTTTTAAAAAATCTGAAATTTTCAACCATGTATCCTTCTGTATCCTGTCTGACTTGCTAAGTTTGAGAGCTCTGATTGTTTCATTGCAAATTTCTATTTTGATTATTGGGAATGAAAGTGCAGCTGGGCCACAGACATGGAAGATGTTTTAGGCAACCAAAAGTAAATCTTCCAAAGCTAAATTTATAATTTACCTTAAAGGCATTTTTTTCAGAGAATGAGATGTCATCTTTCAGTCCTTTATAGCATACTTACTGACAAAAAGCCAGGATATTCAAATACACAGAAAAAACCCTAAAAGTCACTGTAGTTTCTGAATTTCAAATTAGGAAGAAGGGAAGAGTTAAGTCAACAAAGCCATTTGGTGTTTGTTTTCTTAAGAAAATGGTAGCAATGTACAGGTAGATGGTACAAAGGAAGTCAGAGCTTTGTGCTGTTTGTCTGCAGATTTCAGAACAGGATAGGTGATTTAACACTGAAATATTTTCATACCTGTTCCTGCCACCCCTGCAGCCCCCACCCCCTCCCCTTTTCGGGATGTAGGTGATAAATGACAGATTCTCCCCGATGATATTCCTGTGGTACTCCAAAATAATTCTGCAGACATGCTAAAAGCTTTTAGAGACTGTAAAACTGATTATCTCTTCTGTAGCTCTTTTCATCTTCAAAGCACTTACCAACATTAACTAATTAATCCTCACAGCATCCCTCTGAATTAGATATCATTGCCATTATACAGATGGAGGAATTGAAGCAAACACTTTGTGAGAGGCTCCTGAGCTCCAAGACAGTTGGTGAGGTGGAATTAAAAGTGAGCTGAGGTGGAATTAGAATGCACAGACCTGTGTGTCCAGGTTCTCTGGCTGAACTGCCCCACCATTCTCTCTTGAGAAATGTACCTATAGGTATTGGTTATACAATTTCTGTTAACGAAACCTTGCTAGGAATGGCTTTGATGGGAAATTTATTTATAGTCAGACAGACTATTATCTTTTTTAATCCCTCTTCTGCTATGTTTTCTGACTGGTCCAAGTTTGTTGAAAGATGAATGTCTCCTGTAGGATCACTGCTGACTGCAAACTTCAAAATTCAAGAGCAAGAAACTGTGGTGTTTAGTCAGGCAGCAGAAAATGGAAAACAAGCCTCATTCCTCTAGTCTGAATTTAGTGGATTTTGTTTATCAAAGTACTTTGTATCATACAGTTGAACTTAAAAAGATGCACATTTACACTGCTGCTTTAATGAAATAATCTACATCATAGAAGTCTTAAGTTTTAAAGTTTCAGGTGTGGTTGAGAACTCTCCCATCTCCTTTAGGAGTGTGTTTTTAACCATCTCAGAGGCTGATGAGCGCTTGGCTGCATTTCTTTGATGTCTGTGGCAGCCCCTGCTATTCCAGTGCCAGTTTGCCAGACCAGACCCTCAGGTGCAGAGCAAGCACAGGGGCTGGTGGGCAGAGGCTGGGATTGCTGGTGCCAGGCTGCCGCTCTCTCTGGGCAGCACTGCTGGGCTGCGGCTGCTCCCAGCAGGGGGAGGGGGTCCCTGTGCTCCTGTGGCATCACACAGAGCTGCTCTGAGCAGCCCAGGGTGGGGGCCCAGGTGCTGTCAGTAAATACTGCTCAAAGTTCAGCAGACGCGCTCCTAAATTAATATTTAACCAGATTACTACATTTTGTCTGCTTCATTAATTTTTTATTAATTTATGAAAATGCTGTTGATGGAAGTAATATTGACAGGGTGTGTTTTTTGTTTTGGATGCTGGGTTTTTTTAATATCTTCTGGTAAATGGGAACTTCTCTTCCTTATGAACACAAACCATCTAATAACAAGCCATATGGGGCAAATGTTCTAATAAGACAACAATTATTAGGGCATGATGCATTAATGTTTTATGTTGTTCATAACTCAGCTTTAAGAGATTAATAATGGAGATGGGAGGGGAATGCTGTCTTAAGTGTTTATGATTATGTTAATATTAAGGCAGTCTAGGAGAGGAAATTGCTTTCAGGTAGTTACTTTTATTGTTTGTGGAGAGAGTATTGTGAAGGAAATGTTCTTTCTGTCTTCTTCCAATAATTCTTAAGCAGTTCTGCTGAACTGAAGTTACAGGAGTAACTCTTCTTTACTACAAATCTATGAGAACCTCTTATAACTAAACTTTCTTAAAAAATAATTCTAAAACTGCCAGAGCTGAAACTCTTTATCCTCGAATTACTGGGGAGTAAGATTTCCAGAACTTCAGTTAAATTTTGGAAATGTCAGTTTTCCCTTCTATGTTTGAAACAAATCCTAACAGCTCAGAACTCTGTTATGATCTCACCTGTGCATTTGCATTTGGCTCATGCATTAAGATTGACAAAGCCACTCATGGATAAACAGCTGTCCTTTCAAAAGTTAGAGAAGGATGTTTGTAAAGTTTGGAGGTAGTATTGAATCTACAAGGATAGTTTGAACAAATGTAGTAAGGAGAAGGGGGAAAAAAAGAGATGAGTGAAATTTTTTCAAGCTGTTTAATTGTGTGCATAAAAAACATTCTGAATGCAGTTATTTTGCCTCAGGTTTTTTTTTTTATCTTAAGCAATTGCTAAGTATTTTCCTTTTGTCAAAAATTCAATGAAACAAAAGTGTTTTTTGTGGGAGAAGAGAATTCTTGCTATGTATTAGGAACCAACACACTTTACAGTGGTGTTGTGTCATTTTGTTACTGTAGGTAGAAAGAAATGTGCTATTCACACCTTTATGGAGCAATTCTGTGGCCCTCTGTCACAGAGTAAATGTAGCTGTGTGGTCTTCACTTGGCTCCGTTCTTCTGTGTTGAATTTTTGCTCTGTGCCCCTTCTCTTCAAGTCTTGCTCCTATTTTCTGATCAGAACCTGAACCCTGTAATAGCTGAGTTGAGCTCCTAAGCTGCTGAAGTGAGACAGAAGCCCCCACCACACCACAAACAATTTCACTTATGCAGGATTGTTCCTACTCCCACCATACCACAAAGGAGCTCCCTTATGCAGAATTGTTTCTACTCCCAGCACACCACGAAGTTGTTTGTGCCTCCCTGCTGCTCTGGAGTGCCTGCACGGGGCTGTGGCTGCTTCCCCCAATGTGTGAAACACACCACTGTTTATCACAGCCCAGCAGGCAGGATGCTGATCTTTTCAAACAGCACCACTGCACCCTTATCTCAATAGCACTAATATTATCCCCTGCCAGAGCAGACATGATATATTGAAGTATCTGTAACCCTTACAGGATCTCTGCATATTCCTTGAATTTAGCCTGCAGCAAGTCTGTCATCCATGGTGATCCTGATGTTGCAAGAAGCAGCTTAAAAACATCATCAGGGTATTGGTGCTGACTTAAAAGCAGTGTAGGCACTGCTGACCTGTGAATTGAGACATGTCCATTAAAACAGGCTGCCTGCTTTTCCTCCCTCCCTACTGCTTCTTTACGTGCTGGTAGTAGTCCCCTGTCCTGATTGTAACCCTCTGTCAGATAGAGGTGGAGTTCAGACAAGATAGCCAGAATCATGTTAGGTTATCTAATTTTTAAACTGTTTACAGTAACTAAGAAAATATATTCCAATCCAGCAAATTCTGTTTAAGTTTGGAGGAAACTTGATTTATTTTTGCTGATGGATTAAACTCAACACCATAGTTTAGGAAAAAGGACAAGTCGAATACTGCAAACCTTTTTATGTTTTATTATCTGCAATATTTGTGTACAGCAGTGCTCAATTACACCACAACAGTGCAGAGAGCCAATCTTCCCAATGTAATGACTTCCTGATGATCTGTCTTTAAATGAGAAATGAAAAGAATATGCTGCCTTTTAGCTGCATATACAGCAAAGTTTATTGTCACCCCAAATTGCTTTTTATTCCTTGGGTGGGTGGGGAGGTGTAGAAGGAGGATTGAAACCAGACTTTTTCCTAACCAGGTCTCGGGTTATATTATTGGGATATATTTCCAGTGTTGTTCAACCTCCCTGAAATGCATCTCCCTGGAATTCAAAGGGGAAAAGTGGCTGTATGGGGTTAATCTTGGGATTTTACAAAAGAGTTTAGATCAAATCAAAACCCTCAGCTATTGGTGAGCCACAGGTTCTCCTTGATCATGTAAGTCCTTCCATCACCCACTCCAGCACGGCACTTCTGAAATGCAGAAATGTGTCACTTCTGAGATAAAGCCACTAATCCACCTCTCTCCTTGACACTTTCTCTGTTCAGTGGGCAGATTTCTTATATGGATATTTTCTGTCACTTTTGCCAGTACTGCCTCTGTGTCATAAGCTGATGGCTTTAACCAGTGATTTTCTGTTTTTCAGACTCGACGTGGAAATCCAAACACCTCTCTGTGAAGTGTTTTCAGAGTTCATCCCCTGCTGAAAGTCTCCTCAAGGTAATGCTTGTGAATGACAGCAGGCGTATTGTAAGCTAAATTCTTGAAAAATGTTTCTTGCTCATCCAAAGAGCTTGTGAATTCTATAGTCTGTGCTACTCCTCTCAGGGTCAGCATCAGCCTTGCTGCTTTAATGTCCATAATTGTCCTTGTTCTGATTATTTTGGGTTAATTTTTAATCACCCTTTCACTTTCCATGCTGTTGTGCAAATTTTGCAGTTTCATATCTCTGTGCTGTCTTTTCATCTTTTGCAGTCACCTTATTTCTATATACTGCTTGATTTTTTTGTAAGTTAATTTGATTATTACCTTTAACTGCTCTTAGTTTTTGCCACATCTGCTCAAGCATTTAGTCTATTTCTCTCTTTAAAAATGCATTTGGTGTTCATTGTCATGAGCTTGTGCACTTTATTTCTGAAATAAATAAATTTCAGAAATTTATTTCTGAAATAAATAAATAAATTTATTTCTGAAATAAATAAATAAATATTTCAGAAAATTATTTCTGAAATAAATAAATAGGTCTCAATCTAGTTCCAGTGTGATTTTTATAAAAACTCATTGTGTGGGTTTCAAAAGGATTTCCAGTGTAATGGTTTCTTTTGGATTCTTCAGTAGAAGGTTTATATGTTCAAATCTTTGAGGTTGTGTCTGTGTAGATGTGAATGCACCTGAAACCCACTTCTGTATGTATATATAAAATATATATTTGAATGTATACATTCTTGTATATATAAACACCTGCAGTGACAACAGAGCATATAGATATGCCTATATCACTGAGTGAGGTTCTCTTTTGAGGAGAGAGGACACAGTGATGACTGTGAGGTTCCTTATAATCTATTGATCTGCTTCCTGAGCTGTGCTGATAGGTTTGTGCTCTGCAGAATGAACAATATCCGTTGCATTCCAGGCTGCAGTCGTGGGATTTGAGATCCCTACTGACACTTGCAGCACTCTGCTTGCCTTGTCCTGGGCTGCTCTTGGCAGGAAGTCCTATGATTTGGGAAAATAAAAATGTGTGATATCTTATTCCCAGTGCTTTGGATCCCTGGTGAAAATTCAAGCCTTAGGATGTACTCAGGCACCTTTTAAAGTGCTTGCATTGATTGTTGTTACTGCCCTGCTCAGGTCTGGGTGCAGCAAGGTGCTCAGGTGCTCTCCCTGCCTCACTGGTTTGCAGCCTGCTCTTGTAAGGAATGGCTGAGGAAGGATTTCTCTCTTCCTGTGGCTGCCCCAGCACTTCTTATTTACTCATTTCTCTGTGTTTAGAGGCCTGTTTTGCAATATGGTTCTTCTCGCAGCAGAAAGATCTTGTCAGCAGAAGATTATTGCACATATAAATGAAGTGGTGACATGAGGGTTGTGTCTGTCTGCAGCTTCCCTTTGCACTTGCAAGTCAGAGATGTACTGAAAGACCTATTTGTGAATTTTGAGAGTCAGCATAGCAACATTCAAAGGCACTATTTCCATGATTTCTCTGTTTGGATAGCTAATGATCCCAGGGTTGCTCATACATGCAGGTTACACAGAACTGCCAGGTGAAAAATCTGTAGCACATACGTGGCACAGCCAGGTGAAATGTTGTGTTAGAAGACTGAGAAATTTACACTGATTATTCTGGGAAAGTAGTAGTCAACTTAGAGAAAATTAATCCTGTTGGTGGGGGGGGAAGGCATGATCAACAACTTAGAGAAATATTAGAGTTACACAAATTGGCAATGGAAATTCTAATATCCTTTCACTTGGCATGTTTCACCTGGTGATTGAATGCTGTCCTGCTGCCTTATCCCCAGGACTGCCAGCCTCTGGCATTTGTGATGCTAATGCACCACAACCTGTAAGCAAGTAGTTGGATCTGATCTCTCACTTTCTTACCTGAAAGGTCATCAGTCTCTAAGCAGGTCTCAAATGTTCAAGTGCACTTTTCAGCTAGGAACTCAGGTTTTGTGCATGTGTTAATTTTCAGCACTGATAAGAAGGGGAGAAAAACAACTTAGGAAATTGATGTTTGTATAAGAGGTCATGCCTTCAACTGTATTAATTATATTTATTCCTTCAGATTCTAAAATGAATTGGTCAGATTGTTCAAGAGGACAAAAATTTGGAATAAAGAGTTCTACTAGTAGTTTTTTAATGACAAATGTATTAAAAGGAAGTGAATGCAATCCAGATGTGTCCCAAACAACTGGATTAGGATATACAGTAGCAATTCAGAGGGGATATTTTTATACACCGTGTATCAATGGGGTGTATTAATCCAGTTTCTCACGAGATTGTAATTACACTTCATGAAAAATTAACATAAAATTCAGCAATTCAAAGCCACATTCTCTGTGGGGTTTTTGTTGAGATTCACTTCATAGGAGAGCTCACAGTTTATGCAAAATTGTTACTTCATGCTTTTCTTCTGCTTGGGAATTCTGTCTCTGTATCTTAAGTATTATTAAATGTGATCTGTTCTGTTTGGAACTGACACTTTATTTTCAATCCCAAAGCTATTTGGGTTTTTTAGGTCCACAAACAACCTTGGAGGTCATTTGAGGAAGGGATATTGGGTAGCAAGTTTCTTTTGTCTCTAAAAGTTTTCACTGCTTCTGTCTTGCTTTGCTGCCTCATATAATGCAAAAAAGAACACTTCTAAAAGTGCATATTTGTGGAACTGCTTTAGAAACTTAAAGTACATTGTTTCAGAAACTATGGTAAAATAGCAGAAAATAATTTAAATACAACTGCAAATATTGAGGTTGGTACCTAGAGGGATTATAAGCTAGGATTTTGCCAATCGTGAATAAAAACCAAAGCTCCTGTAATTGCTGGTGTCCTGTGAAAACATTGGATGAAAAGAATAAAGAATTACACAAGGAATTTGGGCTTCTCAGTGGTAATTGATATTTACTCAATAGCGGTGTTAGGACTGTTTTATTTTTGTTTTGTGGTGGAGTCTAGCTTTTTGGTTTTGGGTTTTTTCAGGTCTATCAAATAGACTGTTTAATCATGACCTTCATCTAACAGTGCTTAGTGGTGTAGATTCTATGATAATGTATTTGTGGGGTTTTTTTCCTCAGAGCTCTTTTCCTGTCTGTAAGTCTTTCAAAAAATATCTTATTTCAGTTTAGTTCCTGCAAGTGTACTACCATTGTAGCACTTTCAAGAAATTTTGGCAAGAATACTTCACAGCCAGCTACAACTATTTATAAACTTGAGATTTTCTTTGATCCTAAATCAGCTTTCAATTACCATTTTAGTTATGCTGGGGAGAAAAAAAAAAAAAATTTAATCATATCCAGGATACAGCAAACTTGGGAGGATGGAGTTATTTTAAGGCTTGTGGTACTAATTATAGCTAACTCATTACCATACATTGTTGCTGGCATTCTACAATACTTGTTTGTATAGAACTTGTCTGGCCATTTAGCATGTTCTACTGTTGGTTCTTTCTTTAGTAATATATGAATTGCTTGATTACTTGAGTTGTGCTTTTTAATAATTGCTAAGATTTGGCTATTGAACGCTGTCAGATTTTCCTTTTTGTAAATGTTAATTGGAAAGGGTAAGGCAGTAATAGTTTTGGATTTTTTTATTTAGCTGCCTGGTGTTCTTCTTGCTCACTGAGTAAACAACAAAAAATCCAACTTGATATTTTAGCTTGCCCTATTTTAACCTTTTCATCAGTTCAGGGAAATTAATTGGAATAGTTGTTCTTCTCTCCAGTATTACATCCTGTATTTTAATGCCAAATACATCCTTGTGCCAGTGTCTTTAGCAAAACAGAAAAGGGGGCTGTCCTTATTGCAGAATATTGAGCACTGATATTGTTTTTTACCGTTAAGCCAATGGGCATCTTAAAAATGTTGTTAAGGAATAGAATCTCTGTGACTCCTTTAGCAAAGCCTGCAGCGATTATCACAGAAATTCTCCATTAAGAGAAAATTCATTATTCTCACATTAAAGTGAAGTCTCAAAAATGTTCACTTTTCTTCCTGTAATTTTCTTACGCAATAGTGAGATATCTTTTTCATGTCAGCAGAATGGGAAATTTATGATCAAGGGTTGCATTCACTTAATGTTAGTCTCTGTTTTAAGTATAAAGAGAAGAGACCTGAAGTAGAATATGAAAGTCCTATGATGGTACTGAAATCTCTCAAGGTGTTAATCAGAAATTGCCAACAGAAATCTTGAAAGAGCAAAATGCAAATAAAGAAAATAAGGAGAGAGTAAAAGTACCAGAGGGTTGTGGGATGTTTTGTGTTGCTATTTTAAGTTCAGGGTGGATTTTGGGGAAAAGGTCTTAGAGCAACATTGCTTTGCCTGTTATGTTATGTTGGATGTACAGCTACTGATCCAACATAACCATCCAACGTAGATGTATGTCTTGCATTTAGACCCAAGCTCCTGAACACACTCATGCTTCACCTGCTGATCTAGCAAATATCTGTGATAGTAAGACTGAGTGCTAGGCAAAAACATGAATAAAATGAAGGTTAGTAGCACAGCAGCTTCACAGTGAGTATTTTTGCATCCTGCGTGCATCTGTGATCGTGAAGGTGCAGATGTGGAGAAGGGCGAGGGGATGTGTATTTCTAAATCCAGCCAGCAACTTCTACATGCTTACAAAGGACATGTTTTCAATAAGGAAATTCATTATATTCTTAATGTAATATTTACGTTTATATGCATTTTATTTCTTTTTTAGAAAGCTGCAAGTTTTCTCTAGCAGCATTTACATATTTGGATATAAATGCCTTAATATATAAAATACCCTGCATTTTCTACAAACTGAAGAGTAAATTCTGTTGTAATTATTTGCTCAAAAATCTTCAATGTATAGCTTGGCTGCAAGGCTGGTCATACCCACGGTTCTTTAGGGAATGTTTACATAAATAGTTTGCTTGCATATCTATTTATAAATATGATTTTTGCAAATGCTGAAATAAATATTTGTTTTCCTTCACAGTATTGCTATTTCTACTTGAATTAGTAGAAGAATAATTAATATG